GGATGGAAGAAAAAACGGATTTCAGACAAGAAGTCACGCCAGCCCTGGAAAACTCAATAAAGTCTCCGTGCGTAAAAGGAGCGTCCAAAGGCCGGTCATTTGACGTCAAGTCAGGCGATGAAATGACCTCGCTATTTCCCAGGGACACAGAGAAAAGTGCAGAGGGGACAATCAGCAGCGACTTGGTTGAGATGTATGCAAAGGGCGCTCGAGGCCTCAACGCGGGAGCCAGACGCACGTTTCCTTTCCAACAAATGGCTCTTGGTACCGGCCCAGTGACGGGGCAGACGACACCGCCAGGATGAAGGGGCATCCTTGGTATTTTATATTTCCCTTCTCCGCCGACTGTGAGCGGCTAGCAGAACACGCAGCTGGAAAATTCCAACCTCACCGGCTCTGCCTCATCAACTCTCCAGACAGGTCCCAGAGCTGCCGCCGCCCCAACTTCCCAGATGGGGAGCGGCCCTTGGGCCAGCGTCAGTCCCTGGCCTGCACCACGTGTCCATCTCCAGGGTGAGTTCAGCGGCCGGGTGTTCCCGACGCAGACCTTCCTCGCCAGCTCCAGGCTTGGACACCCCCTGCCCTGAACACCACCCTGCGAGGGCTCTTCAGCAGGGCACCGAGGAAGCTCGGCAGAGAGCGAAGCTCCTGTTCTTGCCCCCAGCGTGGTCTTGCCCCAGCCTGTCCTTACTGCAGTCTGTCCTTAATCCTTCCTTACAGGCACTCGGGTCAGAACAGTGAACTTGTCCTCTCATCCCCAATCCTTCAGGAATACTGGGAATTCTGCCTTCAAAACACGTCCCCAGTCCAACCACTTCCATGCTGGCTCGGCCACCATTCACTCTCACCTGCGTTGCTACAACAGCCTCCTGGCAGATGGCCCTGGTTCCACTTCTGTCCCCAAAGCCTGTTTCCGTTGTGGAAAACAGGGATCCTTTAAGCATCCAAGTCAGGTGCACAGCATGCTGCTTTGTTGAAGACCCTCTGTGACTCCTCATGTGACTCAGAGTAAAAGCCACAGTTCAGCAAAGGCCCAAGTCTTAGACAATCCATGCCTCTCCCACCCACCTCCTGTGCCCTTGCCCCCGAGGCTCCAGCCACGGACACTCTTATCTGCAGGCCTTTGCACAGGCTGATCCCTGCCTGCAATGCCCTTCCACCCCATGCCAGCTCTTCCGACTCCTTCTCGTCTTCGGCCAAATGTTGCCTACTGAATAATACAACAGGCCCCGTGCCCACACTCCCACCCCCGTCACCTGCTCTCATCTATCACTCTCCAACATGCTCTATCATTGGCTTATCACGTCCAGCCTGCCCCTTCCTGGCTAGAACATCAACGACACAAAGGCAGAGAGCTTGGTCCATTTTATTCACCGATTTATCCCAAGGACTGGAACCAGTCTGCAGAGAGCACTTTTGCTGAATGAATAAGAGGCTAAGAAAATGGTGAGGAGCCTGGTCCTGGGGCTTCTTGTCCTGCCAAGTGAAGGCTTTGAATGGCCCCATGTTCTGTGACCCCTGGAAAAAGGGAACTGAGACCAAGAGCTGTCCAGGGTTCGCCAGGCCTCTTGGGCTGTGAAGAGGCCAGGTAGCTGTGAGATGGGCCACGCAGGAACCCTCGATGCAATCTTGGCCAGCAGTCCCCTAGTGTGATGGCCACAAAGACCCCCACAGAGATGAAGGCTAACAGCTCTCAAACAACGCAGACAACCCAGTGGCCTCCTGGCCCCTCCACTGGGGCAGGACTGAGGACAGAGGCAGAGGCTTGCCTTTCCAGACGCTGGCTCTTGTTTGAAGAAACCCAGTCTGGGGAGACCACTGCATCACTGGACAGACCCACTGGGGGCTGAGGTTCACTTTTCAGGAGGGTCCCGGTGGGTCCCCCTTAACAAGGAGCTACTCCACCACAGACTTAGAAACCCACTGGCCTCAGGGCAGCCAGGTGTGGAGGAAAGGTCTTGGGACTGGATTCCAGGCCCCTCTGCCCCTTAGTCTGTGACTCTGGGCAAGTCACCAGATCCCACTAGGCTGAAGTTCCTAACTTTTGGTCAACCACCTATTGGGTACAGTGTTGTGAACTCAGGGACCCTGGGTCACATCTGAGCCCCAAAAGATTTCTGGCTCCTGCCAGAGACAAGCACACAAGCGGAGTGCTCCACAGCTCGGCTCACCGAGTGTGCTCTGAGCAACACGACCCTGTGTGGACACTGTGTGAGCCCCGGCAACAGGATCACACCCCACCACACCCCCACCTGCAGACAGAGACACGAGGCACGGCAGCTGACCCCCACCCCTGGTCCCCCGAGAGCTGGCAGCCATCTCCAGAGCCTGCACCCTCCACTGTTCCCCACTCTACCAGCGTGGCGGGAGAGCATGGCGCAGGTGTGTGCTGTAGGTTGGCGCCCAGAGCAGGAGTGGGAGAGGGCAGTGGGGAAAGCTCTGGGAGCAGGGTACAGAGGGTAAGCAGGCGTGTGCCAGGCAGGAGGACCCTGGGGAGGCATCTCAGGCAGGGGGAGGGTTGACACAGCTCAGGCCAAGAGGCTCACAGTAGACTGCAAGACGGAGCTCAGGTCAGGCCAGAACCAGAGGTCACAGAGACTCCCATGGAGGCTGGGGGTGAAGGGTGGGCAAGGGCCCAGTGGCAGCAGCTCTACTGAGTCATCCTCAAGACCCGGGCCTCATCCTGGATGTCAGTGCTTCCCAACACAGACACACATTAAAGTCCTGGGAGATTGGAAAAATGGCAATCTCTGCTAGAAACTGTGGTCAAGCTAGTGGTGATAAGCACCACGCTGGGTCTCCAAGTACTGTCTTCCAGGAAAGGGACGAGGATCCTCGTTGAACCCATGGTCGGTGGTACGAGAAGAGCCCAGAAGACTGCTGAGCCAGACGGCAAGGAGCTGCCAAGGACTCAGAAGCCCACCTGAGGGGCCCCCGCTGGCCAACCACAAGGGCAGGAAGGACAGGGAAGGACAAGGATGATGGTGCGGTGATGCTCATCCAGCATGTGGAGAGCCCTTGGTCAAACTCCCGGTCCTCCCGTCAGAGCCCAGCTGGGATCTTAAAAACATAAATGCAGGAAAAGAATCAAGCGTCACTTGCTCTGTAAACTGGACTGCTGGCTAACCGAACAGCCGTCAAAGGAAGTTAGCCAGTGGACAAGAAACGAGGGAATTAAAATTCCGCCACTTTGTAACCCCTCGTTAATCAACAGATTTATTTATTTTATTTTATTTTTTTATATATTTTTAAATTTTCATTATTTTTTATTATATATATATTCATATTTATTTTATTTAAAAAAAATTTTTTTAGTTGTAGTTGGACACAATAACTTTATTTATTTTTATGTGGTGCTGAGAATCAAAACCAGTACCTCGCACATGCTAGGTAAGCTCTCTACCACTGAGCCACAACCCTGGCCCTGCAACACCTCACAAAGGAAAACACAGACGGTTTTAGTCGGTTCCCAAGGGAAGGACACAAAGACATTTACAAAGTCAGTTGCACACGCACATCCCGAAAAGGGAAACTGAATCTGATCAAGTTCCTAGATCCAACTAAGCAATTTACAAGAAATACTGAGAAGCTTATTAAATGACGGGCGGGGGGGGGGCAGCTCTGGAGGAACAGAAACCCATCACGGTGGGAGGCCGTTACTGGGGAGACTGGAGACAGTCAGGAAAAAGACTGCCAATCACGGCGTGTGGGGCCTACCCCGATGGTCTCCCCCAGCAGTTAAAACACGATTTTGTAAGATGCACAAGAAAGTCGGGATTTGACCACTAGTGTCTGATGACGTTGGAGATGCATACTGAAAAGCTCCAGGCGAAATAACAGCGCATCTGAGACCTGCTACAAGGTGCCGCTGAGGGGAGGGTGGAGGTGGGGCGACAAATTGGCCCTGAGCGCATCCCTGTGGAAGCGGGGTGAAGGGCGCATTCGGCTGGCTTTTACTTTTTATAGCTTGAAATTTTCCATAATAAAAAGTTATAAAAACACTAAGCCCCACCCCCAGAGATCCAAATTCATTAGTCTGGGCTTCGGCTCTGGCGCTGGTACCTTTTAAGACTGCCCAGTGCTCCGACCCTCGGCTGGGGTGGTCACTCATGCCGGACGCTCCAGAGCTGCACTAGGACGGGGCAAGCTGGGGGGGGGGGACTGGCCTGGAGGTCAGGAGCCAAGCACAGGGTCCTTGACCGTGGGGAAGGGGGAGGGAGGCGGGTCCCAGACAGCGCCAACAGTTTGGGTGACGGGGTGCTGCCTCAGGGGTGCCTACAGGGTTCTGGTGGAGATGTCCAGTGGGCAGGTGGCCTGTGGGTCTAGAGAGCCACGTGAAGACCCTGAAGAGGCTCACAAACGGGGGCCACTCCCAAGACGGAGACGGGGAGGGGACAGCTGCAGCCAGGGACAGCATGGGGGCAGACCTGGGCCCTGCCCCTAGGAGGGGGTGCCAGGTGACCCATTCCTCGCCTCCCACCCCTCTCCTGCCTCAGCCAGAGACCCACAGGGCAAGTGGCTCAGCCAAGGGGCCAGCCTTCTCTGGACAAGGGCTGTGACATTTCCACCCCCTGCCCTTAAAGCTCCTGCAGATCAAGGCATTTGTTAAACAAATCGGTGACGGCAGCGAAGCCAGACAACAGGAGGCTGGCCACCTGAGTCTGGGTGCCACGCCACAGCGCTCACCTGGAGACCTGGGCTGGAGCCAAGTGGAAGCCCGGAGCCCAGGGGCTCACACTCTGTGGGAAAGCTGACCCCAGCCAGTGACCAAAGCCTTCAGCCTCGCCCTTGTCAAAGGCTCTCGGTGGGGGAAGGGCCCAGAGTCCCCGCGCTACCCCAGGGGTGTTGGGGACGGCCCAGCTTCCCGGTTTCTTGAGCAGTGGAGTTTATTGTTGGGCCTTCTAAACCATGAGTGCTCACTCGCTCTCTCTCTCAGCAAAAAAAATGATCTCTGGTCACAGAGGACGCAGGGGCCACCCCAGCCAGGAGCAGGGACTTACCACCGAGTCCAGGAACTGAATGTAGCCCTCCAGCCCAGGCCTGGTTTCGCAGAACTGCCGGAAAAGCAGCCTCCCGATGGGCTGCCTGTCGCACAGGCCGCAGTAATCTCTGTCTGGAGGCAAGAGGGAGAGTGGTGAGACCCGAGAGGCCAGGCAGGCCGCCCCTCACCCCACCTTCATCTCCAGCCCCAGCCCCGTGGAGCAAGGTGACCATGAACTCTGTGGACCCAGAGGGACAAAGTCAGGGCGGAGAAAGGTGCCAGTCACCACCCAGCTCCCATCCACTCCACCTTCCCAATAACCGCATTTCTGTATGGAGATGCCAATGGTTCTGGAGACTACAGCTCGGTCCCCTGGTTGGCCAATCAGCTAACACAGGCCCTCATCCTGGCAACTGGGTAAGGTGACAGACATGTGACAATCTGCAGACTGTGTGGGAAACCAGGACAGGGAAGCTCTGGTGCTCTGGGCCTGAGTGTGGGGAGAGTGGGGCCAGGGCTGCGGCCGTGCACTGACACCTTAGAGGAAGCTGCTGTGAGGAAGAGGTTGACCTCTGGAAGAGCCAGGAAAATGGCAATAGCAGACTGGGTCCCCTGGTGATGTTACAGGCCTCTAGATCAAACCATGCCTGCAGCCCAAACCACATCTGAAAAGCTTATTTATAAGGCAACATATTTTCTTTGTTTAGGGCAGTTTGAAAAAATTTCAAATTACTCCTAATTCAAAGCATCCTAGTGGACACAGTAAAAAAAAAAGAAAGAAAGAAAGAAAAGAAAAATAATAATTTTACCCAATTGGAACAAAGCCCACTCTCAGAATCCTTCAAATTATGAAAACCCTGCATTCTAGCAAAGGAGCTAGAGGCATGGAGACAGGAAGTCAGCTGCTCTCAGTCATTCAGTAGCCAAGAGGGTTCTGAGGAGGAAATACTGCAAAACTCTCAGCTGCAAGACCTAGAGACTGGAGTGCTAGCTATCATCTGCTGTGTTACTTCTAACAACTCACTCAACCTCTCTGGGTGATTTTCCTCTTCTGAAAACCAAAATCACATGTTTGGAGTTGGGACATGGGTCCTTTCTGTCTCTTCCTGCAGTGTTACTAAGACTTTTTGCAAGAAGTTTTCCCTGGCCAGAAAGATGCTCACAGCACTTACTAAGACCTGCTGCCTCAGACCCTCCCAAGCCCTAAACAATGGGCCTTCAAATCTGACTCGGCTTTAGGAGAGCCACTGGTGGGAAGGAAGGACTACATCCTGGCTGGGCACAGAGGAACCGGTCAGCATCCCTTAGAAAGGGTTTCTCTGGAGACAGAGAACCAACGAGAAGAGCTGGACCCCACCACAGTGTCCAGCTCACAGGACGTGGAGTCTGCTCACAGGACATGGAGCTATTACTGTGGTAGGGTGGGGGGATCCTGGGGTGGCCAGGTGCAGGCCCTGGAGCTCCGTCACCAGGGTTCGAGTCCCAGCCCCACCACTGAGCAGTGTGATCTTGGGCCACTGACTCTACACTTGCCCCTGCCCACCCTCGCCGTCCTCATCTGCAGGCTGGGTAGAGTAACAGTACCCGTCTCCTGGGACTGTCATGGGGATTGAATACGACAATGTCCAGCAAGTCCTCAGACAGAGCCTGGCACACAGAAAATGCTCAATAAACCCCACCCCTTATCATCCTGGATGTGGGGTGCTTTTCGTCTGTTCTATCTCCCTTTTGTAAAGGAGCATTTTCTGCCCAAGTCTGAACACACGCCACCCAGGTCTTCTGGTTCCAGAGGAACTGATGCCTTCAAGCCTTGGAAGATGGACATGTGACTCAACCTGAACCAATCAGAGTCCTCGTTCCTGGAGCTGTGATAGGGTCAAGGATGAGCACATGATCAACACCAGCCAATCAGAGTCTTCAACCTCCCAGTCACAATGACAAGATCAAGGATGACCTGGAGACTCAGCCAATCAGAGGCCCCTAGAGTGTCAGACCCTGAGGGAGAAACTGAGTGGGTCCTGGAGTCCTTGCAGGGCTTTTGCCAGAACTTCCCCGAGCTGGTCAGATTGTCCTTTCCCCCAGGCAGCAAGAACCCATGGAGACTGAAGGAGCAGGGCAACCGCTGAGCAGAGAGGAGACCTGGAGGCAGCCCTGCCTGAGGCCAGCCCTGGGCAGCTGGGCCGTGTACTGATAGGGATGCTGCCTCAGCCAGCGGCAGCAGGGTCTCTCTGTTGGAATGGAAAGAGCAGTGACTGGGCACACGCTTGTCCTTCATGGGTAAACCGCCTGCGGGCAGGGGCCCTGTGTAGGAACTCGCAGGTTCTGAGTTTCGTAGGCAGAAAAGGGCACTCGACAGTCACATTCTCTCAAGTGGATGCTTTGATCAACAGGGGTGAGCCACTTGCCAAGTGCCCCGCCCCTGTCACGCTGCCCCTGGCCCTTCTCCAGTAGCTTGGTGGCTCAAACTAGTGTTGGACTACTGCCTCAACTCTGCCCTTCAACCACGGGCCCAGGCGCCACGCTCCAAGCACAGATGGTTCACAAATAGCCACTCCAGCGAGCATTTAGCCTTGTCGCCTGCCAGGTTCTCCTGGGGTGGGGGTGAGGGGGGCTGCTGCTGCAAAGGGCAGCAGGGGAGTGTGTGGGCGAGCAGACAAGATCCCAAGTGACAGTTATAAAATGTCACGTTAGATGAGTGTCATTGTCAGCCACAGGAGGGAACCTGGTCACGGTGGCCTGTGACAGGTCTGCAGCCTGCACTTGTTAGCATGAGGCCCTGCAGCACAGCCTGCCCTCCTACCGCCTCCCACTGCACCCGATCCCCCGATGGGAGGAAAACAAGCCTTCGCGGCCTTTGGCAGTAAGGAGCTTTCCCAGCACAAACACGGAACCAAAGTCAAGTGCTCTGGACCAACGTCAGTTTTATTCTCTTAGGGGGGAGAGCACAGAACCTCGTGTGTAATTGAGCAAGCTAAGCTAACCCCTCGCCCCATTTCCAAAAGCAATGGTGAGATTTCCCGTAGCATGTTGTGATTCCTTCCGAGTTCATCTAACACAAGTCTTCCCTCTCCATATGGCATTGGCCGTCAGTATGGAAACAAGGCTGTCATAAACTTGCACAGTAAACACCATGTGATCCCCACACAAGCTGTCAGCAATGGTTCTGTGCCTCTCCAACAGCACGGGGCATCCCAGGCAGGAAAGCCACGTACCGGAAGCCCAGGAAGGAATAAAAGGATTAGTAACCATCTTTTAAAAAATGTTTTGAGATGGACATAATATTTTTTTTTTAGTTTGTTTATTTATCTTTATGTGGTGCTGAGGATCGAATCTAGTTCCTCAAATGCGCTAGGCAAGTGTTCTACCACCGAGCCACAACCCTAGCCCAGTAGTCATCTTTTCAGAGTTGGTATTTTTCCCCTCTCAGTCTTAAAGATAAATGGGTTTTCCTTCTCCATCTTTCCCCTTCTCCTGATCCTTCTCCCCCACCTCCTCCTCATACTCCTTCTGTTAATGTACTGGGAACTGAATGCAGCGGTGCTTTACCACTCCGCTGTATCCCCCGCCCTTGTGTGAGAGTTGCCCAGGCTGTCCTTGAATTTGTGATCCTCCTGCCTCAGCCTCCAGAGTCACTGGCATTACAGGCTGCATCACTGTGTGGCACACGGGCTCGTCTTCCTAGGAAGCACCCACAACAGCACCAAACCCAAGTACAATGTTTGCAGTTGAAGTAGATGCACCCCGGGAGAGAGTGTTTGGGAATGATCAAGGTGATGGGGGCGGGGCACCAAAAATAAGTTCTTGGTGTGGCAACAGCAAACCTGATGGCCAGGTCACTTCTGGAAAGTCAGAAGCATGTGGAGCTCTACAGCACGTCCCTGGGGGAGACCCTTTCTGATCTGCCTTAGCAGGAGCTGGCCATGCTCTGAAATGCAGGCTGCAAGGGGCTGACCACCACCCTGCTCCTGGGTGTGGCTACGGGGCTGCAAAGCACAGGCCCAGAAAAACAGAAGCCATCGTCTCCCAATCTCTCTCTCAGGAGGGGAGAACCTGGGGTGCTGCCCACACAGGCACTGAGTGCTGTATACTCACTGTACACACACACACACACACACACCACAGGCTCTGCTAGAACATAGAAATCCTGCTGCCGGCCATGTACCTCATTGGTGTTCCCTCTAAGCCAGAAAGAAGCTGTCTAGAGGAGGGAGCACCAGGTTCTCTGCCTCAAGTATCCACAAATCATTCTTTGTTCTTTTGGGCCCTTAATTTATTCAACTCTCCTCCCAGGTCTCTTGCTTATCAATATAGAAGTCTCCTTTAATTTTTAAGGTTCTCTTCTTGAACTCGGGGTAGGGCTTGAACAGTGCAGGGTGCCACCAAGTAGACCTTCCAGAGTGGCTTAAGGAAAATGCAGAGAAAGTGGTAGGTGTCTTGGGGATGGGAGGTGAGGCACGGAGGCAGGCATCAGCAAGCCGTGTTGAGGGAGGGGTCAGCAAATAACTGTCCTTGGCAACAAGACTCACCGCAGGCAACGCAGGGCAGGGCCAGGTCACTTCCTTCTCTGCTTTTCCCAGGTACAGTATGATGCTGGCCACACTGCCAGCCAACAGAGGGCGCAATGAGACCAGGGGCCCTACCCTGGTCGCGTCACCTGGCAATGGGGGGCGGAGGGGGGACTCCCCATCTGTTCTCTCAGTAGGCTGCTGACCTCGGGCGATTGCCAAGGATGGTCTCAGCCCTGCTGTGGATTCTGTGTCACCTGAGAGTCCTCGGTTTCTTCATCTATAACACAGGGGAGTTGGAGTAGCAATCTCTAAGCCCCTTCACACCCTGAAGAGGTTCTTGGGTGCTAACTTCATAAGGGCAAATGATTGGAGGGATTTGGGTCAAACTGCCACGAGGAGCTGAGTGACTCTGTATTGACCGGGACTGTCCTGTGCCCTGGGGGGTGCCTACGGTATGGCTGGTCTCTACCCACTTGTTATCATAGTAACCCCAGCCGTGAAAACCAAAGATGGCTGCGCATTGCCCAGATTGCCCCTTTAGACCTGCTGCAAAGGTCACCTTTGGAGCTCAGCTTTAACCAGGATCCCAAAGCTCTGCTTCTGTCCAGCCCCATGGGGATTCCT